AGCCAGATGATACTAAAGGAAGGACACTGGATAAGAGCACAGGAGTAAAGAAACTATCTTTCACCCTATAAAGATTGCTATAACTTACTCTTGGTTTACCAGTTCCTCATCCTCTGAGGATGATGCTGTTTCCTCCAGGTCCTGGGCCATCACAACTGGCATTTCTTTTAGGGTTTGTCATGCAGTCAACAGACAGAGGCCTCAGAGACCTTTCCTTGCAGTGTCACTGGATCAGACAATTTGGATGGCACAGACTCCTGCAAGAAAGTCAAGAGATCTCAAGAACAGTGCAGCTGCCCATTTCATGACTTTGCTGAGAATCATCCAAATGAATGAAAAGGAAGATATTCCTAAGTAACGTCCAACCACTAGACGCTTACTTTCTATTACAGTGTCTCACATATGCCACACACACCACACACACACACATACACACACACAATCAAGCATTTTTTTTTCAAACATAGTGTCACTATATCTGAAGAGCTGTTACTAAGTTTGAGTTCCTTGCTTGTCTTTTATATGGTAATCTAGCACATATCAAAAGCATGGGCTCACTTTTTAGGACACTCTGAGGTAGATGGCTGCCTAAAGAAAATTCTTTGCTAGAAAAATCTGACCTGGATTAAAATAAAAATTCAAGGTTCAAGACATTTGCGAATATTTAGACTCTATCAGACCCACAAGATGTTTCTAGAAAAACCAGTTCAACTGAACTATTAATAAAAAAAGTAATGAAAATATTCCCTCTAATCCGAGGTCACATAAATAGCTGGGAGGGGTTATCAATGGCCTTCCAAACACTCTTAATAATCATTCGCTTACTAAAAAAATCACACACTTTGATCTGTTTCTCAAATAGACACTAAAATTCGTTTATTTCCAGCACTACATTTCTAACTTCAAATCTTTCCATGGAGAAAAAGTTCACAGTCACTGTTTTAGAGAAAAATAGAAACCGCATATAACGAAAACGAAAATGTTTAAATGATTATAATCCCATTACTCAAAGATAACCACTTCACAGTAACTTTGTTTTCTATGCATTCACACGAGAAAACCGCAAACAAACGAAGTGGGGGGAGGTAAACACCGATCCTGATTTTTAGCAGATCTTCAGCAAAAATATGGGTAATATTAAACAACATCAATGATTATTTTCGGTCACCTCTTAAAGTGATTTTTTGATCGTTCCCAAAATGCTGGTAAGTCCTTTAAGTTAAAGCTAAAAACTCCAAACAGGAAGAGATAGATGCTAACCCTTCCTAGGTTCCCTGAAAAGCCGAGCGAGACCCAGTGCCCATAAAGAGTCGCTGCCCTACAGGGTTCTGCCTTCAGCTCCAGCCCCGCTCACCGCAACCCCAGGCAGGTCCGCAGATGCTCCCGCGGGGCAGGACGCAGCGACCCCGCCACTGCGATTCAGCTGCAGCGATTCAGCCCGGAGCGCCCGGAAGCCAACAGCTGCTCCCGGGCTCACAGCAAAGCGCGGCGGCGCCCGCCCAGTCCTGCAGCGCACCTCCCGGGGCCGCGGAGCGTGCCAGCGCAGGCGTTTACCTGTCTCATCTTCTCATGGCTCGGGGCGGGCAGGCGGGGACCACGCTCGGCTTCACCTCCCTCCTCCTTCCGCAGCAGAACTCACCGCAAGCTACGAAGGCTGCTTCCCCCGTTACTACAACAACCAACAAGCAACCGCCCGCTAAGGGCCACTGCGCAGGCGCCCGCTAGAGGCGCGGAAAACGCTCGGCTGAGAGCGCAAACGGATGGCGTCACTGCGGAGCGCCGAGCTGTCGGCGCAAAGCCCCGCCCTGGACAGAAGGTTTTCTTGGCTCCTTTTTTGCTGTGTTTTCTCCGCCCCGAAAAGGCTGACTCCCAGCTCAGAGTTCCTCCGCACTCAACCGGAGGGTTTACCGCGTGAGCGGCGCGACGGGGAGCGTCTTAGACCACGGCAACCGCTGATTGGCAGCCAAGAGGTTCACTCCCTATCGCCTGCTTGAGCAAAACCGGCCCAGCCAATCAGAGCGAGGAATGACGGAAACGACCCAATCCGGGAGCCAGGCTGAGGGCGGGGGCGGGGACAAGTGGCTCAGGTGGACTTCAGGCTCGAGCTGTCCTGGGGGAGCGCTGCTTTGCTGGTGCTGCTGCTGCTTGCTGCTGCTTAGCGCTGGGGGTCCGTCGCCAGGTAGGAGAATTCGGAGTAAGATGTAGGTGTCTGTGTGGCATCTGAATGAGACAATCTGGACAATTTAGGATAATGGGGGTTGCCTGGGAAGCTATCTTTTAGGAGAAAGGGGTCGAAAACGATGCCCCAGGGAGAACTAGGGAAATGAAAAGGGCTTCGTAAATTTTGGGAACGGAGGGATGAGTGCGACCCTAGCTCTGTGCAAAGAGCTTTCGCCTTTTCTCATGTAATTGTCGGGAACCCTCGAGATAGGTATCCCCATTTTGCAAATGAGAAGATCGAGGCTACGGAGTGTCAGTGACTTGCCTGGACCCACACAGCTACTGAGTGATGAGGCTAGAATAGGAATCACTCTTCCTTAACTGTTAAGTTTTAACCTGACACCCATGATGGGCTGGACTAGGATAAAATTTGGGAGTCGATAATTGTAAACTCTGAAGTCCCCCAAGGTTCCAGGGAAAG